TACCTCTGGCGGAAAACATATATTCATAAATCCAGAGTGTCACGATCGAACCTCGTTGTTGGTAGTTACTCATTTTTTTTCTATATGAGAAGGTAGTATAATAATTAGACATTCGGAACTTTTACCAATACTTAATAGATATGAGGGGGGGGTCTTAATAAGAGGGGTAGTCAGAAAATCGTTTAAAATGTCAAAAAGTTAATATTCTTAAGAAACTTTGTTGGTTATAAAATTTAATCTAAATGTAAATCACCTCGTCTCAATTAAACACTTAAGGGTACCTCGTACCAATAAAATTCACCCTCAATTAATCTTTGATGTACTTCCTTATTTCGTATTGTTATAAACATTATGTTATGTGCGTACTCATGTTTGAATTGACATTCCAGTTTTTTGCTTCTTCATCATCTGAGGCGCTTGATATTATTTACACAGTGATGTCAACCTACACAATGAAAATAATGTTCGAATATTAACCAGCAAAACTTCATATTTCCATTTCATGTGGCTCTGTATAAAGGTATAAAGATGTGTAAAGATTACTCTATTGAAAAAAATGAACGTACACCTAACTTTAGCTGAAATGTATTTCAGCTGAATATTTAACAGTTAATATTATTTACATACACACACACACACACACACACACACACACACACACACATATATATATATATATATATGTGTGTGTGTGTGTGTGTGTGTGTGCATAATCGTTATTTAGTAATCGTTATTTGAAGCATCTTTTTACGCAAACTTCTTTGTCGGCCGTTTTCAATATATATATATATATATATAAAACTATAATTCTCCATGATTTTCTCACGTACATTCATATCTGCTCGATGTGTATCCAAATGTAAACATTATGAAATGGACAAAATCCGACAATTATTTTACGAAATTTTTTTTTTATATTTATACGTTCTTTTTTATAAATACAAATATTTAAATAAATGCTCTGTGAGAAAATCATGGAGAATTGTAGTTTAAAAACAGTAAAATCGACCTTGCTAACCGAAACGCTCCTCTGTGGCTAAATCGGCAAAAGCACATCAGGCCATATGACGGTTCCGTATAGGATATATATATATATATATATATATATATATATATATATATATATATATATATTCAATTTATTTCCGTGTATAACGCGTATTTTAAATTTTACAAATTTCCTTCATTTCAAAATAAGGGGGGCGTAACAAAAAGAACTTAACTCATATGTTGTATCGGCACTGGTAAGTAGGATAGTATGCTTACGCCATGGATAGCGATGCTCTAACAATTCCCTCAGTATGATAACTAATTATTTAACCCCTACTCAGCTACATGACGTCCAAGCAAGATAGATAAGACAAAAGGTGCTAACATTTTATGGACATTATTATTATTATTATTATTATTATTATTATTATTATTATTTCCTTTAATTTCTGGTGTGTACTCATTTCTTTTCAGATCTCGACCACAGACCGAAGGTTTAAATGGCATCATGACATTTTCCACTGAGCAGTTTTGACAAAAAATATCGCCCATATTTTACATAGGTAAAGTCCTTCGTAAGGTGTGGGCTGTACTTGTGAGAACATTTGTTTGTTTTTTATTTCTTTGAGGCATGGGCTTCCAGGAATCCCTTCAATGAGTCTATTGGAATCTTTTCCAATCAATTCGAGGACTCTAAATACAACTGAAATTGTTGAAGCTCTTATGTGCTACACTTTTAAGATTACGATTTGCTTTCATTGTTCTACTTGTGTACATTCGGGGATATCTGAGATTATTTATAAGCATTGATAGAGTTTGTACAAGGCTTATGGATTGATGACAGATGATAGAGCTAAAAATTGGGAACCTTGTCATTTCCTGGGTATATCTTTTTTGAGGATTTCGTTAGAGTTTGCATATGATTATTCGTGGTTATATCTTCCCACACTGGTAGAGGCTGCGTTCTTCTTACGTTGGATCCATTCTACAGTGGGGTTATATTCCTTTGGACGGCTCAAAATATTCTCCCAAAATTTCTACACTTTGTCAAAAGATAATGGTTTTTGACATATATAACTGCTTTTCCAAATTCCTTGTAAAATTTCCTAAGGTCCGTTTGGAATATTTTATTTTGGCGATAGAACCTACAACGTCTTGTTCTCTGTGTCTTTAAGTGTAGTTTCTCTTTTAGTATTTCCTTGATTGATGGAATTTCATTAAGTGATTTAATTTTCTATTTCCGTTTGATCTTCCTGCATTTGCGTGTTGAGACATTTCAGTTTCTAGTGAGCCTATCCAGTATTTAAATCTCACATATGATTTCCTTTATTTCTTTAATCAATTTTGCCTTCCAACTTGGCTCTCTTTGTCTGCTGTTTAATGTTTTCATTGTTTTGACCCAAGGGTTCCCAGTAGATGCTAAAACTTTTGCGTATATGACATTGTTAACTTCTGTGATATTTCCCAGTGAATTTTCCGTTAACAATGTTTCCAGTTCAGTGTTGTATATTTTCAAAATGTGATTATTGAACTTTGTCATATGAATTTTTGGGATCTGTTCTGACATTTGAGTGAGAATTACTGAGTGATTTGGATGACGTGGTTTTTCGCTTCGGTGATTTCATCTCTGTCGTTTTCAAGGAATTCTACCTGAATGTAGCTGGAGTCATCTTAAGTGACATCGTCTGGATAATTGCAGGTTATGTCCTAGGTAGATTTTTCGGATTTATTTCCTGAGAGATTATTATTTCGTATATCATTTATTTTAGTCGTATTATTTATTTCTACTCTCATCACTTTACAGTTTAATTGATGGGTTATTGTATTCTGTCTTATACCTAGTTTTATCTTATCTGTTATCATTTGCATGTCTTTTGTTTCGCACGACGTCCCTGCAGGTATTGGCAAGGATGTTTGGGTTGAGATAGGGTCTTATACCAGTTCCTACCAGAGTTCTCCATATTTGCTTTGTCTGATCCGTTAATTTCTTCTGTGGATTTGCGAATGAAAAACGATGTCATGACTTGTTGATACTCTTAAGGAGTCTATTTCCTTCGCTTTCTTTTTTATTAATTGATTTGGTATCGAGTCACTTGGTCCAAGGTTGAAAATAATGCGGGTTTCGTGACGAGGTGTCTCATCGTTGCTGAAAAATTTTGTTCCAGTGACAAATTTCTCGGTCGCAGACTGGTTCCTCTCTGAGGGACACAACCCTTGTTAAACCAAATGTTCGGTTAATCAGATATGAAATTTTATTCGTAATCATCGTAGAATTGACCGCCAAGAAGTAATTTTGTTCAAGTTACCAGCTCCAGGACGACAATCGACGAAGATCTGAGAGCTCGTCCTGCCCACAAGATAGTGGGGGTGAGATTATATTCATATGTTCATAGTTAAAGAATCCATTATTGAGTACTGTATTCAGTGTGGTAGCATAGTCGTATATAGATGGAACTGAATATACTAAGTTTTAATATCTGTCTATATTTCTGAGATGAGGTATTATGTACATTATTTAGATTATTCGGACTATTGTTCTGATCTTTGTCGCCATATTTATTACAACGTTTCGGCCTTTCAGTATCTGTCAATATTTCTGAGATGAGGTATTATGTAAATTATTTACATTATTCGGACTATTGTCCTTATCTTTGTGGCCATATTTATTACAACATTTCGGCCCTTCAGTATCTGTCTATATTTCTGAGATGAGGTATTATGTACATTATTTACATTATTCGGACTATTGTCCTCATCTTTGTTGCCATATTTATTACAACATTTCGGCCCTTCAGTATCTGTCTATATTTCTGAGATGAGGTATTATGTACATTATTTACATTATTCGGACTATTGTCCTCATCTTTGTTGCCATATTTATTACAACATTTCGGCCCTTCAGTATCTGTCTATATTTCTGAGATGAGGTATTATGTACATTATTTACATTATTCGGACTATTGTCCTCATCTTTGTTGCCATATTTATTACAACATTTCGGCCTTTCAGTATCTGTCTATATTTCTGAGATGAGGTATTATGTAGATTATTTACATTATTCGGACTATTGTCCTCATCTTTGTCGCCATATTTATCACAACGTTTTGACCATTGTACGCTCCAGCCTTTTTCAGGTGGTTGGAATGTCGAACTGAACCCTTTATTTCGCTCACTGGGGTAGACTGTTCTAGTTCCACATGCCATGTTTTTAATGGATGTTAGTTATCAGTTATCTCCTGTTAATTCCCCCTGTGAATTCTCCACTGCCTTAAGCTTATCTGACAATATGAAAGGAACTTACTTAAAATAAATAGACAAAACGTGTCTATATTATTTAATGAAACATGCATCGATGAAAAATTACTCCCTAAATATACACAATAATATATAATATATATATATATATATATATATATATATATATATATAGAAAGAGAGAGAGAGGGAGACAGACAGACAGATGGAGATTGCGTGAACATTGGAATAAACACTGATTGCTGTCAATTTTTGCACTTCAATACATTTTTTTAGATGAAGACTTGGTCTTAAAATAACATTGAAACTGCCAGTCAACATGCACTGTTGATTCCTATGTCGATATCTGTAAAAGTTCTATCTCCTATATTTAGTAGACTCTCCCTCTATAAATATCGCAAATTTCAAACACCATATATACTCTTTGATTGCATACATAGTAGGTATATGTATATTTTCTCAACGTCGAAATATTAACACTGTCATATACACTTTCATATTTACCCATAAAACATTTCGACGAATGTTACGAAATGCTACCAACTGCAACGGTGTGCGTCTATTTCTTATTTCCTGGGAAACTTCAGTTTCTGTTGCCGAATGTTTGTGTCCTTCATCTTTGGATAGGAATTTGGTAAAAAGAGAATATTGCAAGATTTTATTCAATTATAAATTTGTATTTTATGCACACGCGGCTTATATTTTTTAAAACAGCAAAGTTTTAGCGGTCAGATCAGAATCGGAAACTTTTCGAAATGTTAATCGCTTCCAAGAATCGTTTTTTCTTCTTTTTTTTCTGTTTCTGTTTATCTGAATCCATTTTCATCAGAAATCTTTTTTTCTTGTTAACTTTTTACTTATTTCTTTTTCTTCTTTTCCTTCAATCTATGTCCTTTGATTATTTCCTCTCTTTCTTTTATTTCCGTTTCGCTTTCTTTCTTTTTTCTTTCTTTCGTTCTTTCTTTCTTTCGTTCTTTCTTTCTTCCTTCCTGCCATCCTTTTTACTTTCTTTCTTTCATCCTTTTGTTTCTTTCTTCCTTGCTTTTTATTTCTTTCTTTCTTTCTTCCATCCTTTTTCTTTCTTTCATCCTTTTGTTTCTTTCTTCCTTCCTTTTTCTTTCTTTCTTTCTTTCTTTCTTTATTTATTTATTTATTTCTTCCTACCATCCTTTTTTCTTTCTTTCTCTCATTTTTTTGTTTCTTTCTTCCTTGCTTTTTCTTTCTTTCTTTCTTTCTTTCTTTCTTTCTTTCTTTCTTTATTTATTTATTTATTTCTTCCATCCTTTTTTCTTTCTTTCTTTCATCCTTTTGTTTCTTTCTTCCTTCCTTTTTCTTTCATTCTTTCTTTCTTCCTTCCACCCTTTTTTTATTTCTTCCTTTCTTTCTTTCTTTCTTTCTTTCTTTTTTCTTTCGTTCTTTCTTTCTTTCTTTCTTTTCATTGGTTTCTCTATCTTCTTTTCTATCTGATTATTAATTTGTTTTTCTTTTCTTTTTTCATTCTCCACCTTCTCTCTCTCTCTCTCTCTCTCTCTCTCTCTCTCTCTCTCTCTCTCTCTCTCTCTCTGGATCTTATTTCATTTACCAAATCGCTGTTCATTCTTTCTAGCCTAAGTAACATCAATTCTTGTCATTTTTCTTTCTTTCTTTCTTTCTTTCTTCTCCAAGTCCCTCTTTCCTTCACTTAAATGTTCTTTCTCTCTTTCACCTCTTCATCTTTCACACATTTCTATATGCTTTTAAATCTGTTTCTACGCTTTTATCTACCTCATTCATTTTCTCTAATTCTATGAATTCATATTTCTTCACCTCGTCTTTTTTCAACATATGGCTCACTATAATTTTGTGTTTTTTTTTACCTTTCTTTTCTTCATTATCATTTCTTTCCCCTTTACTTATTCCCTTTTTCTTTCTCTTCTTTCTAATCATCACTGTTTGCCTCTTTCTCTCACTTCTCACCTTAGTCTCACGTTGTCTTCCTCTTTTACGTTTTCCTTTTCTCACAAGAACGTGACCTTAGAAAAACTGAAAGACGGAAAAAAACAAATGAATAAAGACGAAAATACTACAAAGAAACACAGGCTTAGACGGTGTTTGGCATTTTGTTGGCGGTAAATGTAAGAAAAAGGCGGGAAAAAGATTATTTTGGATAACATACAAACTCGGAAGAAAAGAGCGTATTAGAATTGAGTTTAGATGCGATTAGCTTCCCTCTATGCGCACATGCAAGAGTGTCGGGAAAGGGTAAGAGGGGAGCCCGTTGAAGTTGGGATCGGTCGGGTGGTGGCGATAGTGTTGACACATGGCGGGAACAAAAGGTGATTGCTTATTGTCGAACGAAGAGAACGCGGCAGATGGCCTACCTCAGCTGGGATGATGACAGAGAAAAACCTTACACGTTTTGTAAATACAATCTCTATCATTTAATGGCGATTTTATCAGAAGATACGTAGATAGACACCGATATAAAAAATATATCTACGTGATACATATATATATATATATATATATATATATATATGTCTATTTGTATGTATGTATGTATGTATGTATGTATGTATGCAAGAAGGCATATATTTGACAACGTAAATGTTTATAACATCTTACGTATTTTAAATTATATTTTCTTTTTTAATTTCCCTTGTTTATTTCTGCAAATTTTTCATGTATCCAATTCTCGATTTCTCGTCGAACTTTCTTCATTAATATAATCGCTATGACCTTTTTCTTTTATTTCTTCCTTTTCTTCTTTTCTTATCGTTATTTCTCATTTTAAACATTTCTTCTTCTTCTTCTTCTTCTTCTTCTTTTTCTTCTTCTTCTTTTTCTTTTTTACTTTCATTCTGTCTTCGTTTTCCCATTCGGTCTTCTTCTCATTCGTTCTTCTTCTTCTTCTTCTTCTTCTTCTTACTTTCATTCTGTCTTCGTTTTCCCATTCGGTCTTCTTCTTCTTCTTCTTCTTCTTCTTCTTCTTCTTCTTCTTCTTCTTTTCTTTCTTACTTTCTTCTCTCTTCGTTTTCCATTCGGTCTTCTTCTCATTCGTTCTTCTTCTTCTTCTTTTCTTCTTCTTCTTTTCTTTCTTTCATTTCTTCTTCGTTTTTCCCATTCGGTCTTCTTCTTCTTCTTCTTCTTCTTCTTCTTCTTCTTCTTCTCTTTCTTTTCTTTCTTTCATTCTGTCTTCGTTTTCCCATTCGGTCTTCTCATTCGTTCTTCTTCTTCTTCTTCTTCTTCTTCTTCTTCTTCTTCTTCTTCTTCTTCCAGTTCCATTTCATTTTCACCTTCTTCTTTTTCAAAATTTCATTAGAAAACTCTTCTCCCATCGGGAGAATCGATCTCTTCTTCTTCTTCTTCTTCTTCTTCTTCTTCTTCTTCTTCTTTCTTTCTTTTTTCTTACTTTCATTCTGTCTTCGTTTTCCATTCGATCTTCTTTCATTTCGTTCTTTTTTCTTCTTATCTTCTTCTTCTTTTCTTTCTTTTCTTTCTTACTTTCATTCTGTCTTCGTTTTCCCATTCGGTCTTCTTCTTCTTCTTCTTCTTCTTCTTCTTCTTCTTCTTCTTCTTCTTCTTCTTCTTCTCTTCTCTTTCTTTTCTTTCTTACTTTCATTCTGTCTTCGTTTTCCCATTCGGTCTTCTTCTCATTCGTTCTTCTTCTTCTTCTTCTTCTTCTTCTTCTTCTTCTTCTTCTTCTTCTTCTTCTTCTTTCTTTCTTTTTTCATTCTGTCTTCGTTTTCCCATTCGTCTTCTTCTTCTTCTTCTTCTTCTTCTTCTTCTTCTTCTTCTTCTTCCAGTTCCATTTCATTTTTCACCTTCTTCTTCTTTCAAAATTTCATTAGAAAACTCTTCTCCCACATCGGGAGAATCGATCTCTTCTTCTTCTTCTTCTTCTTCTTCTTCTTCTTCTTCTTCTTCTTCTTCTTTATCCGCCTATTTTTCTTCCTCTTTGTTCTTTTTTCTTCTATATTCTCCACTTCTTTTATTTCTTATTTTGAACATTCGATCCTCTTCTTCTTTTAATACTACTACCACCTATTCACCTATTCTTCACTCACCACTACATTTACCTTTTCTTCCTCCCCCTGAACATCATCTGTCTCTTCTGCTTCTTTTTTTTCTTCTTCTTCTTTATTTGCTTATTCTTCTTCCTCTTTCTCATCTACCCTGCCTGGCTCTTCTTAAACGACTACGTCTACATCTTTCGTTTCCTTTTAGAACTACTTTTGCCACCCACCTTTTGGAATGTTATTTTCCTATTTTATCCTTCCTGATTCTTTAGCTTCTCTTCTTTGATTTTTCATTTTTCTTCATCTACTCGTTCTGCTAATATTGCAATTATTTTCTTCTCTTGCTGACCTTTACCTTTTTTTTCTCTTTTCTCTTTCTTCTTCTTCTTCTTCTTCTTCTTCTTCTTCTTCTTCTTCTTCTTCTTCTTCTTCTTTCTTACTCTTTCTCTCCCCATGATAATCCACTTTTTCGGTTTCTTCCTTCACGAATTCTTTTTTTTTTTTTCATATTATCACGTATTTGGACAAGAAAGTTTCGTAAACGAAAAGGTTACCCAAAGACCAATTTTCGAAATGGAAACTTTTTCGAAATGTCCACATCTGTGTTTGAACATTATTTGCTATTATATACTCATCTTTATCTTTAAACGTACATACTTTTGTGTAAATTTACGTATATATATATATATAGATTAACAATTATATATATATATATATATATATATATATATATATATATATATATATATATATATATATTAATCTGGTTGTTCATATTTAGAAAGTTCTTTTGCAGTTTATATTTAAAGTATCTATATCTGTAAAAATATATATATATATACATATATATATTTCGGAAATTTTTTTACGGTTATATTTAGCATCCATATCTGTAAACTTCTACTTTATTGAAATATTTACATGAGACCATTCATCAGATATATGTATAGAAACAAATGTACTCTTACCTATACGTTCTCTTTCCCATTTCCCAATATATAGACATTTTATGGTCGTAGAAAATGTCTGACAGCCATGATTGTGTCCTGCTTCTTGTGTTGCATGGTGCAGAATCCTTTTGCCAGACATGTCGTCTTCCAGTAGCCACCTTCTTGTCCCAGAGAAACACTACCTTCTCAAGGGACTTGGTGTAAGCCTCCATATTGAGTCTGGTGCCGTCTCTAAAAAATCCAGGACTTCTTTTCTTATCAGCATGCTCAGACCTTTTTTTCGAGCTACTGTACCTTCGTAATCACCATTAGACTCATCCAACTCTTTTCGGATCCTCTGCACTATCCTCATATTGAATCCCATGTTCGCATTTGATGTTTCCCCGTGAACGGTACAGCATACCGTTTCCAAATTCCTGGCGGAGTGAATTGCGTCATGGTACTCTTTTTCTCATACACGGTGCCCAACTGACTCTACTATACTGTGTAGTCGACAAAATCAAAAACAAACAATGCGCATGTGCGAGATTACAAATATAACACAGCGAAAATTTACCCAAAGTATCCTAGAAATGATTAAATATATCTTACTGGAATTCTCCGAGGTTTTTATAACAATATTGGACTCTACTTTGAGCAATAAGAATGTATAATTACTCTCCAAGCTTAACAGAAGAATCGTCATGAAATCGATCGATCGAAAACCAAAATGATATGTTCATCATTAACTAATCAAAACTAAGGATCGGAAGCTCATAAAGGATCGAAATATTGTTCAAATATATATATCATTTTAAAACTTATTCAAGATGATCTTCGCCCTCTCTAACCTTCTAACTTACTGTCCTGCGGAAACAAGATGCCGCATACGTTTCATATAAGTTTTCGTTTTCAAGTCTTTTTTCACTGCTCTTTGAACTACCATAGGTGAGACTCCTCTCTCACGGGCCAAATTTCTGATGGATTGAGTTGGATCTTTTCTAATTGATCTCTTAACTCTAAGTTGATATGATGATTCCACTTCCTGATGTTATCTCTTGATTCAGTTTTCCTCTATACTGTTCCCTCTTTTTAAAACTTATTCACTATTCTCTTGATGTTTCTTGAATGGTCTTTGAAGATGGAAGTCAGAATATGAATGCTAGTACCATTTCTCAAGGCCTGAATGATCTTTTTCCTCTCACCATTGCTCATTTGGGAAGACAATGGGGCTGACACAAAACGATTTTAACCTGTTCTCATTCTAGCTGAATAACTCAAAGAGTTTTTCAGTGATTCTTACGACAAATGGTGTCAAGATGCCTAAAAGTCTTATCTGAAAGCCTAGAGAAAAGTAACTCAGAGATATAAAACATTTTGTTGGGTGGACAATTATGCTATCATACGATTTGGATTTCGCTGTTACCCAGTATATAGTCGAACAGAAAAAACAGAAAAAATACAGGATATATGCTAATAATAATAATAATAATAATAATCGCTATGAAAAGTTTCTACATTGTCGTCATCTTAAAATAAACTAACTGTAAAATCATGATATCCGAATAAAATACTGAAAATGCTTAGTTCATTACATTCAATGAAACGCAGACAAACGCGAATACACACACGCACGGACATATATATATATATATATATATATGCAATTTTTCATATATAATATTTATATATTATATATGTGCGGTACTTATATGAAAGCGCTCAACATCAGTGATAGATCTAAGATATTTACTTGGAGTGATGTGAGTGTGTGACCCTGGGTTTCACGCTATTTGCGATCGTCAGACAAACACTAAATATATTTGTCTGACTCTGTATATATTTGTCTGACGATCGCAAATAGCGTGAAACCCAGGGTCACAAACTCACATCAATCCCACTATATACATACATGCATACACATATATATATATATGTGTGTGTGTGTGTGTGTGTGTGTGTGTGTGTGTGTGTGTGTGAGTAACAGGTTTGATTAAAATTGGGGACAAAGTCGGACAGTTTTATTTCTTATTGTATTTTTCCAATTTTCGAATATGGTGTTGAGTAACTTCGGACAGTTTATACAAAATTTCGAGCACAATATTGAACACCTTATTGGAAAATTGGAAAAAAGGAATAAAAAATTAAACTCAAAGATATTGTCGGTATTTAAGAAGCATTTTTTCATTGATGCATGTTTCATTAATTAATATAGACAAGTTTTGTCCATTTATTTTAAGTAAATTCTTTTCATATTGTCTGATAAGCTTAATCACATTATCATTGAAAGACAAAAGTAAATCACCATATTGATACATGTTTTTTTAATCCTATCTAAGTTTTCGGATTACATAAGCCATTATTAAAGATTACATTTCAATATATTAAACAATACACGGAAAAAACGTAGTCTGTTTTTGTTGCATGAAAGATTTCCACGAAAATACGAGACGCGGAAGCAAAAATCGCATCGCAGCTCGTGACGTCATACACGACCACGCGAGAGTGAAAACGAGAAGTATTAAGTATGGGAATCTGTTGGTATAAACCAATGGCTTCTGTTATCAATTATAGGCATTTAAAAATATTTGTGGAGATTTCATAGTTTATTTTGTTCAGGTTAGGTTTCAACTGTTTTATGTATATAGCTTCAAGAATTTTTAGTTTTTGTTTATTGTTTTCATATTTAAGTATAGTTGAGTTTCCATCGAGGATTTTCTGGAATTGTGTACGCGGCCAGGCATTTTGTTTTTAATGCCTAAAAATGTTAGAATTATCATTCAAATGTAGAGTCAAGCGTCGTGAATTTGATAAACAAAATAATCAAAGTAAACAATGAAGGCATCATTATATCGTCTTAAAAATGATGTTAGTGATCAGGAGTACGCTTCTAGTATTTACATATTCCAGAAGAGATGGTAAAATATCAAATTAACAAAGACATCATGGAAATCTGAAAACTCATTGAAAAGAATCATAATTTTTCCCTCATTTGCTCTCTTTTTTTACCTTTTCTTCTATCTCTCCTCTCTCTCTCTCTCTCTCTCTCTCTCTCTCTCTCTCTCTCTCTCTCTCTCTCTCTCTTTCTCTTTTCGTCTCTCTGTTTTTATTTGTTCAATCTGTTCCAAACGATTTCTCCTCGTTATTCTTCAGTCACAGTTGTTACTAAAAATAAATGATCTGTATGTCTCTCTCCTTCTTTCTCTCTCCCTCTCTCTCTTTGTCTTTCTCGTTCACCCTTTTTCTCTCTCTTACCTCTCTGCCATTCTCTTTCTATCTTTTTCCCTCTGTTTCTTTCTCTCTTTCTCTTTGCTTTCTCTCTCACTCTTTGTCTTTCTCGTTCACCCTTTTTCTCTCTCTTACCTCTCTGCCATTCTCTTTCTATCTTTTTCCCTCTGTTTCTTTCTCTCTTTCTCTTTGCTTTCTCTCTCACTCTTTGTCTTTCTCGTTCACCCTTTTTCTCTCTCTTACCTCTCTGCCATTCTCTTTCTGTCTTTTTCCCTCTGTTTCTTTCTCTCTTTCTCTTTGCTTTCTCTCTCACTCTTTGTCTTTCTCGTTCTTTCTTTTTCTTTCTCTAATCTCCCAGTCCTCTTTCTATCTCATTCTCTCTGTTTCTTTATCGCCTTCTCTCACTTTCTCTGTTCATTCTCTCTTTCTTCCTCTTTGTCTTTCTCGTTCTCCCTTTTCTCTCTCTTATCTCTCTTTCTTTCTCTTTCTCTCTCTGTTCTTCTTCGTCTTTCGCATTCACCCTTTTTCTTTGTCCTATCTCTCTCTTTCTGTAACTATTTCTTTCTCGCTGTTTCTTTCTCGCCTTCTCCCTCTTTCTTGCGCTCTCTCGTCCTCTTCCTCTTCCTCGTTCTTCCATTTTCTCTCTCTTATCTCTCTGTCTTTCTCTTTTTATTTTGCTCTCTGTTTCTTTCTCGCCTTCTCCCTCTTTCACGTTGCTTTCGCTTTCCTTTCTCTTTCTTCCTTTCTCTCTCTCTTCCTTTCTCTCTCTCTCATTTCTTCTTGACTCTTACACACAAATACACGCACACACACATAAACATTTCCTACCTTGCATTCTTATTTCTCTTCCATAAATATTCTTTACTTCTCGTTCCACGTTGAACAAATTTATTTCCGCCATTTTTAACAATATTACTCAATACCGACGTAAGCATTTCTCGTTTTCTTCCTCTTCCTCGTTCTTCCATCTCCTCTCTCTTATCTCTCTATCTTTCTCTTTTTATTTTGCTCTTTGTTTCATTCTCGCCTTCTCTCTCTTTCACGTTGCTTTCTCTTTCTTTTTCTCTTTCTTTTTTTCTCTCTTTCTCTCTATTTCCCCTGATCAAAAACTAGCAGAAATTTTCTAAAAACGAATTCAGTACTGTGTTATTCGACGAGATTGTTGATAATGTAGAACGAAAAGGATAAGAAGTTCACTAGCAAGACAATTTTATTTCGCTGCAGTCGAATGGAGCACTTTATTCAATTTCAATTGAAAAACATCAAGTAAAAGGTTCACAGATATTTTTCTCTAAACTGGCTAGAATAATGGAGAAATACAAACTAAAGCCAAATTTGATGTCTACAGAATGGTTTTAAGTTTAATGCCGTGTCCAATAATAATCATTGTAAGAATATAAGATTTATTTATTACAACGTTTCGGCCTTTCAGTATCTGTCTATATTTCTGAGATGAGGTATTATGTACACTATTTACATTATTCGGACTATTGTCCTCATCTTTGTTGCCATATTTATTACAACGTTTCGGACCTTCAGTTGTCCTGAGATGAGGTATTTATAAACTATTTTACATTATTCGGACTATTTCGATCTTTGTTGCCATATTTATTACAACGTTTCGGACCTTCAGTATCTGTCAATATTTCTGAGATGAGGTATTATGTAAACTATTTACATTATTCGGACTATTGTCCTCATCTTTGTTGCCATATTTATTACAACATTTCGTCCTTTCAGTATCTGTCATTATTTCTGAGATGAGGTATTATGTAAACTATTTACATTATTCGGACTATTGTCCTCATCTTTGTTGCCATATTTATCACAACGTTTCGGCCTTTCAGTATCTGTCAATATTTCTGAGATGAGGTATTATGTAAACTATTTGTCTCAAAAACAAATCTAGTGTCGATGATAAAATTAACCTGGCCGTGTGTCTCGAAAAAGACCTCCAATGGGTTGTGAACTGGGGCAGGAATTGGCTGGTTAAATTTAATGCCTCAAAAACAAAACTGCTCTCTATTACTCACAACAGAGAACCATCCCTGCCTCTCATTAGAATGTCTGACGCTCAACTCCACGTGAGCGCCTCTTTGTGACTGCTCGGTCTCATATTGACTGTTGGCCTGAGATGGAACAAAATATTGAGTCAGTAACTTCGTCTACCGCTAGGAAAGTTGACTCCCTGTTACTCGCCAAAATTTTTTGTCTCTCCGGAGTCGATGCTTCAAATCTGCGAATCGTTGATTTGTAGATTTGAAGCATCGACAATATGGAATATTGCTGCCATATATGGTCTGGATCCCCTTCTGTTTGTCTCAAGGTGCTTGATAAAATCCAGAAACGGATATGCAGTGTAGTTGGCCCTGATCTGGCATCTCGTCTGCAGTCTCTCTCTCACAGACGTGCCGTTGCCTCCCTCTGTCTTTTTTTACAAATACTTTCACGACAACTGCTCCGATGAGCTGCTTTCGCTGGTTCCCAGACTTCATGAATTTAAGCGTTCAACTAGGCTGGCATTTCGCTCTCACCCTTTCATTGTCAAAACTGTTAAATGTAGCCGTCTCTTCTACTTCAATAGCTTCATGTCTCGCACTTCTCGGCTGTGGAACTCCCTCCCCTTTTCCTGTTTCCCTGATAGCTATAATATCCAACTATTCAAATGTAATGTCAATCGACATCTCCAGATGCCTTCATCTATCCCCTATCCTTCTCTTCATCCTTCCTCTATCAATCCTATTTGCTCTCGTTCTAACTCTATGTAACCCCTTGCGTACTAGTGGCTTCCCGCCTTGCTTGGGGTGAAACGCTTAAAAAAAAATAAACTCATTTTTAAATGTCATGAAGAAGCCTTAAATATGATCGAGAGATAAAATAATTTCATATGTGATTGTACGTTTAAAACCGATTTCATTTCACTTAGCATGTTTTTTTTTTTTGTCTTTGGAAAGGAATTAATTCGTTTCTATATGCGCTGTATTTCATTGTCAGATGCATTAAAGGTGTATTATGTGCCTCAACAAAGTTCATTTGAGAATCGACTTTCAATTTAGTGCCCTTTAGAGAGACCAGGTGCAGTGTTGACCTGTTGGATGTCAGCCTGGACGTCATGTGAAAATCCACGTAATCGGCCCAGATGCACCTGATATGTGCACCCGTGGGAAACCATGACAGGATAAATATATAAAGACCGACCCGAGGTGCAACAAAGAGACACTCTTACATCACACACGAGAATACAAAATTCACGTTCTGTTGAGGATCAGGTACTACTGAGATAGTTGAAATGCTACAACAGAATGCACACCTTACTGGCATACCTCAATGTTTGATAGGGAAGCTTCTAAATGAGTCGGCCATTGGACAAATCACTGATATTTAAAACCCGCTATATCAATTGGTACCCACAAAAATTTACAACCATAAAGACAAGAGGCTTTCATTTAATATTAGTGACAAAACATTTGTGTATATCTCTGAAATGAGATATTGTAAATGTTTTGCACTATTTACATTGTTTGGACTTTTGTCCTCATCTTTACTGTCATATTCACGACGTTTCGGACGTTGTACACTCCAGCCTTCTTCAGGTGATATTTGTTGGAATTTCAAACGGAACCCCAAGGGCACATAGCCCAGTAGATAAAAGCGCTGGTTGATTGATTCAAAAGTGGCTTGACCCAAAGTGTTGTAAGTTCAATCACAGCATAGAGAACACAAACATGGTGAGTTGAGTCACGAAGAAGGATTTACTAAAAATGAGATATCCATAGGCATGGTACGTGGAATTAGAACAATCTACCCGCGTGGAGTAAATAAAAAATTCGTTTCGAAATTCCGACGTGTTTCGTCCCTAGAAAGAACTTCATCAGATTAATAATTGTTTTATCGATGAAGCCGTATTTATGTAGCGAAAAGAAGGCAGTACAACAAGCAACGATAACCATTCTAGATCAATAAACGCGGAAGATACAAGGAGGTTAGCATTAAATTAAATTTTTTCTGCTGCTAGATTTTCTAATCCCATATGCCATATCTCAAGGGGAATTAGAACAATCTACCCGCGTGGATTAAATAAAGGGTTCAGATTGAAATTCAAACTTGAAAAAGCCCGTAGCATACAACGACCGAAATGCCTTGAATGTGGCAATAAATAGAAGTACAACTTTTCGAACGGTCTAACTAATGTAAATAATTACTGACACAATTTCTGTCTTAACAGATTTCTTTCTATTTACAATCTGCTTTGGAAGAGTTCCTTGCTAATGTATTTCTTACAGTTTCATGGCATTTAATCAGTTTTGATAAAAAAACCATCTGCTATTTTCCTTATCATTATATTTTTGATATCAACAGCCGAAAGGCCACCAACGAAAAGGAAAATTATCGAAATGTTATCGATATAAATAGATGTCAAATTTTATGCACGCTTATATTTCCACATAAAACTTGGATCTTAAACGTGGATTTTCACAAGCAGCTTTTAAATTCATAACCAAATTCACTTGAAATATAGACGTGAGTATAATCTATAATATTTTCGCATATTTACACACGCACGTGTGTATGTGTTTGTGAGTGCATATGTAACAGCTAATAAATTATATACATATCATAAATGCATTTTTTAACATGCATAAGCATAGGTACGCAGAAATATTCAAAGACACATATTGATATATATGTATATTTCTGTATGTGTATCTATAAATCTATTTATCTCTCTCTCTCTCTCCTTTCCCTCTCTCTCTCTCTCTCTCTCTCTCTATATATATATATATATATATATATATATATATATTAATGAATCATACATACAAAAAGTAGATTAGTAAAGTTAATGATATAAAATGGTGAAATCCCTTCGCTAATAAAATTTTAAAGGTGCATTAACCTACAAATCACTCGACGAATGTTATTATCCTTGTTTTTAAAGCTGTCTAAGGTCTCTCTTTTATACGCAAGTACTTTCAACTGTACATTCACTCATCTTCATGGAAATTATTTCCTTTTTGGTAAAACTCAGGTAGCGTCCGAGACGAAAAAATATAATGCAAATCGAAATATATATATATTTTTTTTAATGTGTTATTGTTAACGGATACAAGCGGCCAGTCGCAACGTTAAGGTTGTTTTTTGTTTTGTTTTGTTTGTTTGTTTTTTTAATTTAAGAGAGTATATATGACTGTAACTAACATGGATAAGAACCTGGCGGAAAACTGTATTACATTTTATCATTATTATTATATATATATATATATATATATATATATATATATATATATATATAGAGAGAGAGAGAGTATACCTTACCAGTAGCACGACTTGTATGATGCAATTTAGGTACTGAGTTGTTGATGAAGCCCTGAATCATGCTACCGGTGAGGCATAATATATATATATATATATATATATATATATATATATATATACTAATAACTGTTATATTACATCGGTCACTGTTTTATTATCTCCAACACTCAATGTGCGATATCATGTGTGTATATATATATATATATATATATATATATATATATATATATATATATATATAGAGACAGACAGACAGATAGACAGACAGATAGAGAGAGAGGTTGAGAGAGAACGAGAGAGAGAAAAAGAGAAAAGAGAATGAGAGAAAAGTATAGCTAGATGTGTGTGCATATACAAGAGTATACAAACATATATATTTACATATATATATATATACATATATATATATATATATAGAGAGAGAGAGAAAGATTGAAGCATAGATCGATAGATATTTACGTACACATA